CCCCATGTGGAAGGAGAATCACATGAAAAACGCCAGGAACAGAGACGTGAAACACTCGGAGTTATTCCTAGCGTGTGATCTGCTCACCACTGAGAAAGGCATAATGGTCTACTGGAAAAAGGTCAAAGGTCACTCCAGGACCCTAGGTCCGGAGAAAGATGGTAATGACGAAGCAGACCGCCTTGCTAAGCTCGGTGCTGACCAGGGAACCTGCTGGGAATTCAAAGACGAGTGGCTTCCTCCCAAGGCCGTTCACGAGGTCTGTGCGATTACTCGTCGCCATGCTAAACAGGCAGACGAACCTCAGAACATTGGGGTACCCGTGTTTCTAGGCAGACAACCACATGACGCGGACCTAGTCACCATGCAGGAACAAGATCCTGACCTGAAGCTCATCCGCGAGCTTCTCCAAAAGGGCCCGATGTCTAAACAACCGTCACCACCTACTGGCGCAAGTCGAGATTTGGTAACCCTGCATCGTCAACTCACGCACCTGAAACTACAAAACGATTTGTTAGTTTACATGCGTGACGGTCACAGCCCGCCGCGCTGGGTTGTTCCACTCGACCACAGAGGAGTAATGCTTGCCTACGCCCACGACACTCCGGTTGGAGGTCACCGCGGAGCAAAAGCTACGCTCGCGTCACTGACAGAAGTAGCATATTGGCCGTCGATGTCCAAGGACGTACACAGCTATGTCCAAGGCTGCCTCATCTGTGCCCAGTTTCAACCCTCCCAGCCGCTTGCTAGAGCACCACTGCAACGCAGGGGAATAACCTTCCCTTGGTCCCACCTGCAGATCGACTGGGTTGGACCGGTTCCCAAATCGGCAAGAGGAAACAAATATATGCTAACTGTAACTTGCAGTTTCACAAAGTGGGTTGAGTGCCTTCCAGCGCCAAACGATACAGCCGTCACAACCGCTGTACTGCTGATTAACCACGTTTTCAGTCGATGGGGACTTCCACTCTGCATTGACTCTGACCGAGGAACTCATTTCACATCCAGTGTAATGACGTCCCTGTTTGAACTTTTGGGAGTGGAAGTGAGATTCCACCTCCCCTATCACCCACAGTCATCCGGACAGGTCGAACGGATGAACCGCACGGTCGTCTCTATGCTCAAAAAGTACGTCTGCTCCACTGGGAAGGACTGGGACGTCAAGCTCCCTCTGGTCCTGATGGCCATACGGTCCACTCCACAGCGATCCACGGGGGTTACGCCCTTTGAGATGATGACCGGCAGACTGATGACTCTACCACTGCACCTCCTGTATCACCCAGAGGATGTCAGTGTTGCCACTGCCTATACCGCTCATCAGTATGTGGCAGACTTGAAAACACACCTCAGAGCTACGTTCGCGCACGCTCAGAAGAAACTGGAGACCAACGTAGAAGGCGCTAAAGCCTACTACGACCAAAAGACAACCAGCCGCGAATACGAGGTGGGTGACAAAGTATTCTACTTTCGGTTCGCCCAACCGGCACGCAAACCTAAGAAGTTCCTGCCCTGCTGGTCAGGACCATTTGAGATCGTGGCAAAACTCTCTCCAGTTGCATACAGGTTACGCATCACCAAAGCGAGACAGGAGCCTGTCTACAAATGGGTGCATGCAAACCAAATCAAACCCTACGTCAAACCGTCCCCGCGGGTACAGAGACCAGACTCCCCGCAGGAGGTAGACGTAGTCTCTACATAGTTCTATGCATGGAAATGGAAAGGGGGGGAAAGTGCACGTTTAACCCACTAACATGTACTAACCGACAAAGACCCAGGCCCCCCCCCCCCCCCCCCCCCCCCCCCCCCCCGCCGTCACTTTCACTAACCAAGAGAAACTCCTTCCCAGACCGCTAACAGGATGTACTTACTAAAACCTTACAGGGTACTCTGGTACCTACACTAGGCTCTGATTAATGGATCTCTACGTGCAATCAAGACTTTGTCTGAAACCATACCTCAGGATATTGTGTACACACGAGTGGTGAGAGATTTGATGTAGGACCTGCTCAGGGAAGTAAGTTCCACGCTGGACAGCTTGGTTGAAAGTCGTATTTCCCCGTACTTGGTACCACTGGACCTGCTCAAAGATAGCTTGACAGCTGCTACCCCTCTACTGTGCACCTTTCACAAATCCACCTAGCGTACAGCCTAAGTAGTGCAATGCCCATTCACGTTGAAAAAAATTAGAACTCGGTTTCCTGTTACATGTTCCCATAATTGTGACAACTCACATCTATAGGTTTAGGTCGATGCTGAACATTGGTATTTGAAAGGACGGTAGGCATTTCCACTTTGAACTAGAAACCTGACACTCCATCACCTCAACCTCGAACAGCATGACTCAGAGATTGAGATCATGGACGCTTTCCAGGGTTATAACTTTGCCTTCGATTTAGAAATTGACCAACAATTACTGATTGAAGGAACCAAATTTGTTAAGTTCACACAAAACCCGCGTGAACTTACTTTGACGCCCAAGACGCTACATTGACACAGATTATACGACTTTAATCTGCACATTGGTCGCCCTGGGGATGGAATGGCTCATCACGGCCGTGATAGCTTATTCCGCCTACAGGCGTGTTAATAAACTCCAAGATAAGATGCACTTGCTCACCTACGGTGTGCCTCGTAACCGCGTTCGGGGAGACTCCAAGCGTGAATGTACCACACCTGTCTAAAGGGGGTGAGCAACATTTTCTTTGTTATTTTGTAACCCTAAGAGTAGTTCTCACTTTAGTCTACCTCACATTTTTATCTGAGTGTTGCATTATGTCACATTCTTTATAAGCTACACACTGAATGTATGACCTAAGAATGTATTTTATGAGACCTCCAGGTTGCTATGAATTTTCTTGGAGGTTATATGTTTTTTTTTTGGGTTTTCTGTATTTTTCTTTCTTACTTGGTCACATATTGACTAGTGGTTATGTGCCGGCCCAGCTCAGTCTGTCAATGACTCTGTCTGACGCACCAGCACATTGTAGTACCTCTTAGTTTTATGGTCCTTGTTTTAGCCCAAAGACTGTCCTGATCCACCCTTTGGACCAAAAAGGGGGGAATCTTGGGACCACATAGGTCAATGCGCGTTTGCGAACTGTGGACCTCGTACATCACCGCGTGCTCCATAAACTGAACTGTATGGCCGGCGGTGAGATGCCTTTGTGTCCACTCGTGGAGTTAACCGCCCACCGACCTTCCTCCTTCTACACTACTACCTCTCGCATGGACGACATCATCATTGCGTACCACCTGCGTGAGTGGCTTCTTCTCGTTATGCGCGTTGGGGACTATCCCGTTTCCTATCCTCTTTGTGCCTGACCAGGATCAAAGACCAAAGGCGCCAGGATCCAAGACAAAGACCAAAGACAAAGGCGTCCAAGGAGACCAACGTCCTAAGGGACAAACCCACCTGTGCTTCCGACAATCAAGTCGACCTACGTTCATGAGGAACAAACCCATCTGTGCTTCCGACGATCGAGCTTTGGGCGCGATCCCCGAAACCAAAAGGGGGAATGTTGAGGGTCTGACCTCATGAGGAAATTACTATGCAGTGATTTTCTCCAAAATGACTGTGCTTAAATTGCTCTGAAAAGCAAATAATCACATCAGCGCCAAGAAACTTCATTTCCCATGATGCTTTGCACACGGAAGCATTGTGATGACGTCACCGCCTAGTACCAGAAACACGTTCTGCGCATGTGCGGGAAGCCGTGGAGCTTTTCCCGCGAACTAAGACCATAAATCTTCAGCAGAGACAAAGAATCCTCGTTCTTTTGCCCAGGATACCTGGCGGTTAGGACACGCTTGTCAACGCTCCGACTCCCTTGAGCACGCGGAAGCTCTAAGTGCACAAGTGGAGCCCACGGAACTGCTGGAAACTAAACTGCAAGCCCATCAGATCTGCTCGTTTCTGCTCCCCTCCAGCTGATGTTTGAGGACACAGAACTGCGGAGGAAAGCAACAACTCCATCAAGCACGCTGTAAGTTATAACTCAGCACAGAAAGAAACTTCGCTGTCTCTGTCCAGCCCGTGGAGAAACACTCGTGAACGCCAAACAACGGAGAAAGCATCAAACCGACGGACGACGCCGAAAGCTGCGGAGAAACACGGAGAACCGTCAAATCAAAACAGTGAGGGACGCTTCACTGTTCTGGTGATCAGAAACTCATCTCTTTCTCTCATTCTTTCCTTCTCCCGTTTCCTCTATAGTCTCGAATAAGCAATAAACCGCGTCTATTGCTTAAAAAGTAGCTTCGTGTTTTCCTCTTTCGTCCCAAACACGTCCGTCGGGTCATTTTGAAAGAATAAACTGCTTATTGATCATTGTTTGGTATCTTAAAATGGTTTCTGTCATGGCCAGGCTGAAACTAAAAGATATTAATTTGTGATTAATCTTTTGTGTTGTTTCATGATCTTTTGAAATGTTTTGAGTGATTTAAGGTTAAGTTACTACTGATTCTAAGTGCTTTGGAAGTTAAAGTGCAAGTTGCCACCCACACTTTAGCCAGACAAAGGGGTCAGCCATCTTGTATTCAAGACTCCATTTTGAATCCATACACACGCACACACACACACACACACACACACACACACACTACTCCTTTGTGAGAACAAAGGACCCCATTTATACATCCTCCATCACATGCAAACACATCCATCTTCAATCATATCACACGGTTATTATTCATCTATTCCACTGTTTATTCATTTGACAAATTGTTAATTAAATGTTATAAAATTCAGATTTTTGTGTCCAGTAGCTTTGTTGTGTTGAAGAGAAGTCTCTGCTCCAAGGATTCTACGAACTTCAAGAAAGACTGATAAGAGTTTTGGATTCAATTTTTCCCCGGTAAAAGGGGAATGGTGCCCCGTATATCTAAGAATATCTTAATTAATTAATAAATCAGTAAATATTCCCATATTTACAGAATTTATTGAAGAATCCAAAAGTAAGTTGAAGCTTACTAATTGTTCGCTCCTAATAACCCCAACACAGGGAAGTCAAACTCAAATTCACACTGGGCCGAAATGAAAATCTGGGAAGAAGTCACAGGCCAAACTTAATATTTTTTGAAAAAGTGACTGCAAATTTGCACATTTTTTTTAATCAACATATATGCAATTTTGAACCTTTTAATTTGGAAACAAACTTATTTTTGCATTAAGACTGAATGTGTAATAACCAAATCACACACGAGCAAGTCAATTTTAAATATCAGTGGTATTCATTACTTGTGGTATATTCAGCATTTTAAAAATCTATTCAGGATTTATGTTTTCTTGTTGTTTATTCATTTTTTCTTAGTTTTTATTCTCCTTTTTTTCTCCTGTAATAAGTGTCATCGCTGATGTGACATCGAGCTGTCCCCACTGAGGAACAATAAAGGGATTTTCTATTCTATTCATCTATCTGCAGCCTTTCCAGTTCCTGTTTACTGTAGGTTAAATCTTTTCTCGCAGGCCAACAACAAAATAAAAATATAATTTTATCTTAAATGAAAATGCAACATCTCACCTGTTAACTTTCAGGTTTTGGAGCAGAAAAAGAGCATAAAACCAAAATATTTAAAGCTCAGTTTGCTCCACTGGTTTACTGTGATGCTCACCTGTTCCAGCCAGATTCCTGCATCATGGGGTTGAGCTCTGAGCTGAGGAGGAGACTCCTGTTGTTTTGTTCATCTTCATCATAATAATGACGACAATAAGTGCTCACATAGGTTTATGCTGGTGAACACGTCTGAGCAGCTTGACCACGTTGTTGTGTGTCGGGGAGGAAAAATAAAAACTACAGCAGCCACAGAGTAATGCTGATTTGAGCATGTCACTGCTTGCTGGAGTTATATCAGCTCTGTCTGGAAGTTAGTTGGAAAACTTTCTCTTTCAGTCGTGAACACATTACTGAGTGGTTAAAATCTCCATTTCTGGGCTTCAACGTCAAAAAATAGCTGAGTAAACTCGGCGCTGAGTGAGAGGAGTGTTTAGTTTGTCCGAGACAGCGGAGCTGCAGGCACCGGCAGCAGGCATGAAAAAACACAAAGGAGGGGGCGTTTGGGCTCTGCGCCAATGCCACAAAGCATCATGGGAGTTGTAGTCTTTGCGGTAAAATCGGCCAGCAGGTCAGTTTTAATATAGTTTTGATATTTATCTCGCGGGCCACATAAAAATGCTATGCGGGCCTCATCTGGCCCACAGGCCTTGTGTCTGACACATGTGGTCTAAGACTTGAGGAATCAATCACAACTGCCTGCAGGGTGAGATGTCACAGCTAATACGTAGAAACAATATAAAACAAATTAGGTGATTAGCTAAAATTAAACTCTGAGGGGCTTAGCAGGTCAAATCAAACAGCCTGACTGGAAATTATATGCAGAAAGGCTGCCAGCCCCAGATGGTGGGTGACTTCAATGTAGCGGGGCAAAAAAAAAAAAAAAAAAAAAAATTCAAATATACAGAATAATCTTTATGAGCAAAATGATTCCTCTGTGTCACCTTATTAGTTTCATGACTGCTGAGGCATTTGGCCTTAGTATAGCGATGGCTAATTTTTCTTAAGACTGAAAAATAAACATCTGCCTTTTGGGTTGTTTAAATCTAACGTTGGCAACCAAAGTCACACATGTTCAGTCTTTTCCTAACCATATATACACTTTAGGGCTTTTCAATATTACTCTGCACAATTTGAACCCACAGTGAATTCTCTAGGACACTTTTCACTTTTTAATTTAATTCAGTTTATTTATACAGCACCAAACCACGACAAGAGTCGTCTCAAGGCACAACGAAACATTCCCACACAGGTCAGTTCATTAAGCAAATCAGTAAAAAGTTTCCTGTGTAAGGAACCCAGTAGATTGCATCAAGTCACTGACTGGTGTCAGAGTCTTTGCAGCAATCTTCATACTAAGCAAGCATGCAGTGACAGTGGGGAGGATAACTCCCTTTTAGGTTACTATATAGTTATATTTTATATTCATGTATTTAAAATTACTTCAAAACCTTTTCAAAACTGCTTCTTTAACATCGGTACTGATGTTTTTGTCTTAGTGGAGTGGTAAAGGAGCTCACGTTGACATGTGGAAAGTTAATATAACGGTAACGACTACTAATGCTGTTTACGCTGCTACTTACAACAGAAATAATATCAGACTTGTCTTCCTCGTCTGCTGCCTCTTCCTTTTTGGTTTTGTTAAATAAATAATCTAAGTTTGTTACTTATTATGGCTTTATTAACCTACGTTTAACACCATGAAAGAACCAGTGGATTAATTTTACACTCGGAGGTTCACTTGTGGTTTTTGCTGTAAAACTTAAGTCTTCCTGACCTGTTGCCAGTAGAGGAAAAAAGCAGTGTTGGTGACATCAATGGCTTAGTGTATTTTTGATAGTCACCCTATTGTTGGATTACCCAAAATTCAACACATCAGTACAAAAAAGGAGACTCGAATGAAACTAAAGCTCTAAAAGCACCACCTATCGCTTACTGACGTTGGCAAAAAGAGCAAATGCATTATCTTGAAGAAAATTGCCATGTTCTGTGTCTAAAATGTCACTAAACTAAAGGCCTCAGCATGTTTTACTCAGAGAGCCTCAGGCATTTCTATACTCCAAATAGGGCTGCTCGATTATGGCAAAAATAATAATCACGATTATTGTGACTGAAATTGAGATCTCGATTATTTAAGACGATTTTTCAATTTATGTTGATTTAATTTGTTTTTATTCAGTCATAAAATTGCTCAAGGCACAATCAGGACAAAAATAAATAAGAAACAAGATGATCACTAAAATAACTCCTGATTCCCAGTGTAAAAAGACCAATATACTTATAGCTCATAGTTTATGACCCAAGGGCCATAGTTAATTCTTTGCAGCTGCTACAGCAGCCCTCTCAGAGGTGTAATTCCTCTTCTCTGTGCAGCTAATCAAGTCCTTGCGTGTCTATTTTCTGTAAAACCGCATGGAGTGCAGAAGAAAGTCACGATCCAATTATCATTTTAATAACTTGTAATACAGGCGCTTAGAAATTTAAAGTACTTGAATCTGCCTTGAAGAAGATGAAGTAAATTGTAATGAAGAAAAGCAATGACTTTTCATAGCAACAGATAACAAAACTACAGAAAAGACCTACTGACCAAGTGACCAGTGGGACTTTGATTAATGACAAATGAAAATCTGCTGAGTTCTACTGTGGTTCATCTCTTTTTTTTTAAACTTTATTTAACACTTTACTTTTTTTAAGTGATCAATGATCACGATCATTGTGATCCTGTTCCAACCACATTTGTTCTTTAAGGACTGTGGTTCCGCGCTTCATTTCTGTTTTTAATAATGAAGTTCTTAATCCAAATTTAGTAGTTCCTGCAATGTGCTCAGATGTCTAGTCTGTCATGCCAATTACCAGAACCTTCTTAACCAGACTAATTGTCATGATTCCAGCCCTTCGGCCATCCATTTTAAACCAGAACATACCTGAGACGCCGGTATTCGCCTCTCCACATCACACTCACCCTGAGGAAGGCCACAACAACAATCATGGTTCAGGGTGTTTCTCGAACAGTGCATTTACATGCAGCCAGTAACCCTTTTAAAACCCGAATATTCACAATAACCCAGTTCCGCAGGTCCATGTAAACACCGCCAAAAACCCGGATATGCTCATAACCGGGTTTTTTAAAACCCGGTACTACGCCTGGGGTAACCCTTTTCTAACCTGAATGTTTGGTCGTGTAAACGCATATCGGGATATCCCCATCAAAGCGTGTGTTCTGCGCATGCTCTGTTCGCAAAGAATCTTGGTCTTTTGAGTAGCGAGACGTCTTGTATGCGCCAGAACTCCGGAAGTAAACAACAAGTTGGGGGCAAAATGGCGAGTCGCGGCACAGCACCACACTTTGAGTGACGAGGAAACTAAAGCGCAAACAAACGCGGTCACTATCTCTTCCGAACTGGGAAACATGTTGTTGTTTTCACGGATACCGGAACAAGAAGAACCGGAAATTACGCATATTGCGTCTGGACGTAGTCCATACGTCCTGACGCTACCCCAACGTCCGCATTTAAATCGGGTTATGCAAGTTAGAGGTAACTCTTTTTATTTATGCTTGTAAACGGGTTATTCTGATAAACTCAGAAACCCGAATACCGACCTTAACCCGATCATAACCCGGTTATTGGCTGCATGTAAACGTAGTCACCGTCTAAGAACCTTGCCTTGATCCTACCCCGGTTGTCTAGGAAATACGACATCAGGAACTGCCAAGGCATGTTCCGATGTCCATGTGCTACAGAGGCGTCTGTCCTCCATTTGTCTGTTGTTTAGCTAACTGGCTAATAGGGCTGCACATTATATCGAAAAATTATCGTCATTGTTTGGTTCAAACATCCATGTCATACATCAACTTTTTGTAATCCAGCTCTGATTTTACGTGGAAGTTTTATTTGACCAATCAAATGTAGCCCTTCTGATATGCGACCAATCAGATGGGTCCGTTCACGTAATACGCCCGCCCCCTACGTAGACCCTTAGGATGGGTGGAACGCAACACCCTAACTGAGTTAGCGGCACCGTTCCCTTATTCGTCATGCTGGCTCAGATGAACGAACGCACTTTGTGCTGAGGTTTCTGGAATCAGCGCTGCTTTCAAACATGAACGTGAGTCTGCTCGGTGTCGTTAAGCAGCTGATAACCGGGCTGACTCCGACACGTGCCGGTGAACGAACCCACCTTCATGTCGCTAGTGTTCCACCGGGTGGTGATGTTAGCCCCAGGCTCCGGTTAGCTTCCAGCTAAAAGGCTACAGCACTCTCCTCCCAGTCCCACCCTGCTAAAGAGGGCCTGGAGAAATCCCCCCACACATCAAAGGGATTTTTCATATATGAGCTTTTATAACCTTGTTAATCAGGATAGTTGATTTGCTGCTGCACATAAACTGTCAGTCAGAAGCTCTGCTAGCCGGTTATCTTAAGAGGAGCTAGTTCAATTTGTTAGCTTGTTATCAGAATCATAGTTGCAGTTTCATCATCTGAGCTGCTTTTTAAGATCTAGGTAAACTTGTTCAATTTGGGGTTAAAAACAAATGTTTTCACATATTTTCCATGTAGTTTTTTGCCAGTTCCTCTTCTGAAAGGTAGACAATTGTTTTTCTCTTTCCCTCAGAAAATCCAAATTTTCTCCTAGTTTGGCCCAGCACAGTTCACTTCCCAATTACAGCAACAGCCCATATCATAACCACATAAGTGGAGAAAATGCTCAGTAGCAATGAGAGAATTTGCTGTTGCATTTAAGTGATGTTAAATATTATTTAACATTTAAACTTATTTTCTGATTTTTTTTATTTATTCAAAAACTCTGGTAAGGGATGTTTTTTTGTATTTGGAGCATCAGAAAAAGTTTTATGGTGGAGGTGATGTTTTACAGTCACTGAGAAACTGCATGCATGCAGTTTGTTGATTTGCTGCTAATACAGTAGCAGGTGCAGCTGCATATTTTTGCAATAAAAATGTTATGTTGTAATGGAATTCATGCATTAGTTTTTGTTTACTTTGAACCCAGAGCAGACGTCACACGCCAGACGACATCAACACTGCATACTTTAGTATTTGTTCATTTACCGTGAGTAATATCGATATCGCAATATTAAGCACGGTTATCGAATATCGTAGGTTTTCCTAATATCGTGCAGTCCTACTGGCTAAGGATATATGGGAGGTGCCTTGTTGCCTTCCTTTCAAAAGGATATCGGATCAGGGGCCGGCAGCAGCTACTACATTTCCAGTTTAAATAAACTAACTGTAGCTATGGGGCTTATATCTAAAATGTTTTATAGATCCAAAGCAGCTATCTATGGTTGGTTAGTTGCTTAGTAGTTGCAGCTTTGGGGCTTCCTTCAAGGCCTGTGCCGGCATTTCTAGATTAACTGCATGATAGACGTCTCCCATCGCTAACACTTCAGTGTTTGGGTCTTGCCATACACTACAGCTCTCATCACTGCTCACCCCACTGGGCCAAGATGAGGAGCACTGACAGGATGACTGAGCATCTTTTTGTTTTTTTTATTTATTTTTTACCGTGTCCTGTCAGGCTGTGAAGCAATCAGAATTGATGTCTGAAAGCCAAAGACAAGCCTTGCAGTTTTACTCACAGGTGGAGCGTAATAGCGTCTGCTGTCCATGCCTGATACCAGAACTTCATTAGAATTATTTTCCATCAATCCATCCATCTTCCAGTTATCCAGAGTTGGGCCGCAGCGGCAACAGCCTAAGTTGAGAGGCACAGATGTCCCTCCCCCTGCCACTTGGGCCAGCTCCTCCGTGGGAATCCCAATGCGTTCCGTGGCCAGGCGAGAAATTAAGGGTGTTTCTCAATGCCAAGGAACCTCGCCTTGATGCCTAGGAGATACGTCATAAGGAACCGCCAAGACGTGTTCCAAAGTTCATGTTCTACCGAGGCGTGTGTTCTCCGTTTGTTAGCCGTTTGGTTAGCTGAGCAAGGATACACGGGAGGTGTCTTGTAGCCTAACCTTGGTCAAAAATTTCCCAGAATACACCGCTGTATTTTCGAAAGGATGGCGGATCAGAAGCCGGCAGCTACTTTGGGGGCAAATTTCAAGTTTAAAAGTAAGTCATGTAATTGAAAATGTTTTTTTTTTAGATCCAAATAAGTTATCTATGGCTGGTTAGTTGCTTAGTAGTTGCAGCTTCGATGGCTAGCGGGTAGTAACTGACTTATATAATAAATTTAACAAATATATACACAATTTAAAAGTAAAAGGCTCATTATATATTTAAATTGAAACTAATACGTATAAAATATGTTATCTCCCATGTCAAGTAATGTTACGTGACCACCGTGGAAGCTGCAGTCATGTGATGCAAGTCTGTTCCATAAGGGAGGGTAGGAACGTACATCAACCTGTAAATCGAGAGCTTCGCCTTCTGGCTCAGCTCCTTTCACCACGGCAGACAGGTAGCATACCTGCATCACCAATCCCCTTATCAATCTCGCGCTCCATCTTTCTCTCACTCGTGAGAGATACTTAAACTCCTCCACTCGAGGCAGGAACTCATCTCTGACCTGAAGTAGGCCTTCTACCCTAAAATGCCCCTTATGCACAGACTTGCTGCCTCCCAGTTATTTTCCTGCAGAGTTATACCTGTAGAAGATCTAACCTGAGCTCTTTTGAGGTGAGACAGGTGCTCCTCCACCTGGCGGCGCAATTTGACATTCACTTGGAAGATGGTGTTGTGGTGCTCCATCATGAACGTCACTAGTTTGGTAGCAAGTAACTCGTCCAAGTCCATGTCATCAGCTGATCCCAGAACAGAAGGAGAGAACATCTGCACCATCTGGATGGAAAACACAGCGAAAGATGAATAAACCATTAACTTCAACAGCAGCAATGGTGAGACAATATGAAAAACAGTTGTGACGTGTTATCGAGGCAAAAGGTGATCTTGAAACGCATTAAATGTTTCAAATGAGATACTTTTATTTAGTGTGTCGTCGTCCCCCCCCCCCCCCCCCCAACTGCAAACCAAGAAGTGTACACAACAGGGTCATACTTTCTAATTAGATTTCTTTCACCAACTCCTAATGCACAAAAGCTCAGAAAGTTTCCCAACGTGAATAAACTTTGGTAACTGCTGCATTCCACAAGAAAAGGAAACTTCAGTCCTTTAACTATGAGTAGGAGACGTGAAACTTATTCAGACGAATACATAAATGGACCCAAATCGTGTTGTCAAGGCGAAGAACGACCTCTCACACTTAATTATTAATATTCAGTTTTAACAAACCACAGTGTCCATGAATTCTTTTATCTTAACACTGAGGTAAAACACACAATATATCCATAATTTTCTGAAGTATTTTGATTTCATACTTTCTTGACAGCAATTATCCAAGTTTGACTTTTCTTATAATTTGAATGGATTTAGTGGTGCCAACTTTTACTGCTAAAGTTATAAAGAGTTTTCTGGTGTGTCATAATGTTTTAGAGTAAAAGTCTAAAAGTTGTTATTGCAGAAAAGTTTACTGTGGCAGGTTTTTTCCTTCTACGAACACATTATGAAAAACCTTTACTTTTTTATAAGATACCAAATGTTGCTGAGTAAAGGAAAAACAGTTAGAAAAACAACAGATGGCACAAACGTGTACGAAACCAAACAATAAACACTAAACATTCATTAAATTAACTCAAATTCTTTACTTTTGGGTCATTCTTGTACAAATATTGCAGCTTTAAATCTGAGCCACACAATCTATTAAAATCCTAATTATGATATTGATCAATACTGAAATCATGAATATTCAAAGGTGCAGCATGTTAGCTTGGCCTGTCAGACTCCTCCTCTGTTTAATTCTGCACAAAGAGTCTGGGAACTCTCCTATTCAAATAACCCCACCCCGTAACAATTCTAACCGGGCCACTCAGCGCTGAGTATCGTACATCACACACTACAACGCCGAGTTTGTCATAAACATGGTGACTGAAGTGGAGTTCGCTGTGGCTCTTTCCTTTGTTCTAAACGATTTGAACTTGTCTTTAAAACCACAAGTAGAAGCGCTAAAAGCCTTCCTTCTAAAGATGTTTGCGCTGTCGTGAGCAGATGTCACACACAGCGACGCTCAGTTTCTCATAAATAACGAAGACAGCGGCGGAGTTCGCTGCGACTCTTTCCTCTGTTCTAAATGACTCGAATGTCTTTAAAACCACAAGTAGAAGCGCTAAAAGCATTTCTTTAAAAAAATAAATAAATAAAAGATGTTTGCGCTGTTGCCAGACGCTATTTTTTTTACTACAACTAGAAAACTACAGCGTCGTGCGGTACAGTCGGGATTTCTGTCTTTTTTCTGATTGACCATTTTTGAGCTGCCTAGTCCCGCCCCTCAAGTGCCTCTCTGCCTGTGAGTTACCAGACTCTTTCTCTGTGCAGAATTAAACAGAGGACGAGTCTGGCAGGCCAGGCTAGCAGCATGTAAAAGTGAAGCAAGAATGAATTCCTGTGGTCAAAGTTGGTTACTACAGGTCATTTTTCCAAGCACAGCGTTACTAACTCAGTACCGTTGCATCAGTTTCATGGCTGTTGCCAGTTATGGATCAGCACCAGAAGATTCTAGATGACAAGTGAAGGTGGGTCATTAACAGTAACCTGATAAGTACAAAAATACATTGTCATATCTGGTGTTAGCACTCGGGTGTTTTACTGCACTTAAAATCTACAGCATTAGAGGAAGTGTGGCTGTTTGCCATCTTGCTGTTAGAATAGAGCGTTATTGATCCCACAATGGGGGAAATTAGCTTGCTGTTAATAGTTCTGAATGACTCGCTAAAGGAAGTTAAATGTCAGGATTGACTCATTATTCACTTGACACATACATTTCACTGTAACATCTAGTTGTTGGCGATTGAACAAGTTGTTTGAGATATTTTTAGAGCCGACTATTTGCTTCTAATTCACCATCGTTAACTCAACATTAGCATTTAGTCTGTTTCACCAGACGGTAAAACAAAAAGATGCCGTGGCTTCTTAGGGGTACAAGGCATATCTTCTGGGTCGCTCCCGTTTACTGCCTTCGGTTCTTTTAACTCTGGATCTTTTTGGCTGCCTGTGTCAAATTGCAAATGCCAAGACTCGACAACCTCATGGGCTCACAGATTGTAAACAGTTACTACATCCCTTTCGTGTTTGAAAGGAGAAAAACTGACAACCCCCATTTTCAGAAATGAGCAGAATGCCACATCAGAGGAGAGCTTGGCAGGATTAGGAGCTTTATTTCCTGATATTTGGGACATCTCACCTCTGATTGGATAACAGCAACGCAAGTCTAACCACGGACTTTGCTAGCTTGATGGTTTATCTCCACAAATACCTCAAGCCTGGAGATGCAGTGTTTCCCCTACATAGGTCCAGCTGTGGCACTGCACCATGGCTGAAATTCCAGCGTCCTGCCTACGAGACGTGACCCGCCTCGCGGACGACGCACAGCTACAAAATCTTCCCGCCACGGCTGGGAAAATCTCTAGGGGAAACACTGAGGTGTTCTGCTGTGCATTTGCTAATGCTTACGGTTAGCTTCTACTAGCCAAGACATTCTCAGCTTCTAAGCTGAGTCCCATTCTGTCCCGCTGTGAACTTGAGATCATTATCCACACCTTCATCTTCTCACGCTTGGACTACTGCCACTACCTTTTCACGTGTTTGAGCAGAACCTCCCTGAACCGTCTACAGGTGGTTCAGAATGCCTGTGCTCGGCTTCTGACCAAGTCCTCCAAACACACTCACATCACCCCGCTTCTCCTCCAGCTTCACTGGCTGCCAGTCAACTTCAGGGTTCATTTCAAGATCCTGGTTCTGGTCTATAGGGCCTTACATGGACAAGCACCATCTTACATTGGTGATCTTCTTAGTCCCTACACCCCCAGCAGGTCCCTGAGGTCCAGTGACCAAAGCCTACTGGTTGTGCAGCGCACCAGGCTAAAGACCAAAGGTGACAGATCATTTGCTGCTGTGGCCCCCAGACTCAGGAACTCTCTCCCCCTGAGCCTGAGATCAGTGGACTCAGTGGTCTCCTTTAAAATCAGCTGAAAACGCACCTGTTCAGGCTGGCTATTAGGTGACCTTCAACATCACCCTCTCCTTATTCTGCCACTCCCGAGATACACTGATTTCCCTCTTTCCTATTAATTTTCTCCATCCCTTTCCTTACATTTTTTTATCAAAATCTTTATTTTTTTCTCATTTTAAACATATTTAAAAAAAATTGAAATCTATTTATACTTTAAAAATTAATTTTAGTTTTTGTGAAGCACCTTGTGATTTTTTATGTTGAGAGGCGCTATATAGTTCTTTCTTTTGCTGGACGCCAAACCAACAGCAGCATTCCCTCTCGTGACTCAAGATGGGCGAGTCCATGAACGTTAAGTGACTGTTTAATGTAGATCTGTCAGGCTTTATAAATCCTAGAGTTTCACCGTCTATTTTCTATCAGAAGCAAATGCAGGAGACAGGTTTAAGATTTAGGAGACTATTTTTATGTTAACCTCAGAGTGACCAGTTATAATAAGAAATAAGATTTTTTTTTTCTTCAGTGACCCACACCTTTAATAAAAATGATGAAATTATAAAAATAACTCTGTGTTACTGATGTTCAATACTGTTGAATACTGCAAGTATAGGAACATGTTGATTGTTGGATATTTTCTGAACCATTTAACTCAGTCAAGATAAAGATGATGAGAAACTTTATAAAATGGAAAAAACTGCAAGACTAAGTACCAAAGTGCGGGTGGCAATAGCCTCATTAAGCTGAGGCAGCTGGGCGTTCTGGCAGACCCGGGCCATAAGACGCAGTAAAAGCTGGAGCTGTCTTCGGTTGGGTGGTGGCAGCAGGAGGCAGCTGACTTGAAGAGCCTCAGTAGCTGCACTGGGATCATGCAGCAAGCCTGCAATTATACGAGAGAGGAGTGCTGGTCTCTGAGGGCAAACATAGACTGAATGATGAACACGGACAAATGTCTTCCTGATGCAGAGTCCAAATACTGTAGTGGATCTTCAAAGTGAAGCACTCACTGAGAATGTTGACAAAGACCTCATAAAGATGGAAGGTCAGCAGGGGCTCTTTGAGTCTCTGGTAATAATCTGCTACTGTTCTCAGAACGTCTCTCTCAAAACCCGGGTACACGGGTTGTTTGGTGTCACTGCCATGAGGCCCTGTGGAAAGGTCAAAGAAAAGTTGTATTTGTTGCAATAAATTAAAAATAACACAACAGAATAACAGCAACAGATAATTAAACACGGCTGTCCCTGATATTAAGGCTTTTATATGTTATTTTATGAGACAAGACATTATAAACATATCAATTTCCCTCTATGGTATGTTACAAAATACCCCCGATCTCCAGCACAAAGTTTTCCTTGAGGTGTTTCAACATTTCTGGTTTCTACAGACACTGAACCACAGCTGAAGTAAACCAAGGTTTTATTTCTTTTCTGTTTTATTCTAAAGTACATTTATTCATCCACACTTACAGTTTGAAAGGCATTTCATTGCCGATATCACCCAATAAGGCATGTCCTCTAAGGATAGAAAAGAAAGAAACAAAAAAAAAAAACCATTAAAGTCTTTAAAACAGGGGGTGTAAATGGTGGAAAGTGTCCAACGTACCAGCTTTGTTCTCCAGTACAACTATGCCTGCTTTATTAACATTGAAAACATTGTGGACAATGTGTTTGCCATTCACATGCGCTGGATTCAAAACTCCATCCAACGTCTCCAGACCCAAAGCTCTCTGTAAGCTAACGACAGGAGGGTGAGCATCAGAAAAAGCGCTTACATGAAAGAAGCACACGCCAGTAAAACGTACTGAGCAATGGTCATTGATTTCCAGATGTGGTCCACTTGCTTGGAAGTGACTTCCTTCCTGCGGATGAGCTTGCATTCGTGCACATCTCCGATAGCAACGCTGTGTCTTTTATTCCAGAGATCGGAAGTCTGATTAAAATGGAGACATGAATGGATGAGTTTCTTTTTAATTCACAGAGTGTGTAAATGTTTAGTGAGCTTGTGTCTCAGTGAGAAACCATTATAATGGGATTATATATTAATACAAAATTTATTTTTATGCAGCACCTCCTTTTGTTAATCCTATAGGCAACATCAAGACAAAAGCAATGAAAAATCCTTATTTTTTTGTATTTTATTAATTAGTTAAAATGTCATGTTATGTTGTCTTTTGTAATCATTTGTTTTTTTCAATACGCTTTTGGTGGAAAAAAGCTCCGACGCTCTTGTTTCAGGGGGAATGTGTTAGGGGCTCGACACACGGGAGGCGACAAACGACCGCGATCAGCGAAATTCGTCGCTGTCGCTTTTATTACCTGACACACAGGAGGCGATGCGCGGCAGCGGCAAAGCAGTCTTTAAGCGTTCTGTTCCATGGTGAAATCGAAACTTCCGTTGTTTTGCTTGGCTGTGTCAGGTTGGAGGGAATTAAGGTTATTTAAGCGGTTCAGAGTTTAAAAAGTGGTAGATATGATGTTACACAAGGTGCTGCTAGAGTTGTGTGAAATCTTACTTCTCATGTTAATATATAAAACATAATAACAATCAACTTCTCCTTCTTGTTTGCTCAGAAGTGTACGGAGCATTCTGTCCGCTCATTGGTCAGTGAATGAAACCTCCGTTGATTGGTCCTCGTCCGAGCGACAGCGATGAAAGTTGAAAATATTTCAACTTTCTGGGATCACGTCGCTGGGTCGCCTGTGCACGACACACATGCAAAATTTCACACGCACATTTTTCGCGTTTCGCTTAGTAGGAGGGAGACCCGCGATTATCGCGCATGTCTCATTGAAAATAAATGGAGGAGAGGTGATGTCGCCTCCCGTGTGTCAAGCTCATTAGTCGGAGAAGTGGGGAGAAATGACAGGATTACAAGTGTTATACATTATTATTGATATGCAAACATCTCACCTCTGATTGGCTAACAACAACGTGACTCTTCCATTGCCTTTGCTTGCTTGTTTCTTGGGTAAAGAAGAATGAAACGTTGATGTTTTACCTCCACAAATAACACAACCCGAGAAATGTTCTGCCATGTTGTGGAGATGTTGTTGCTAACGGTTAGCCTTGATTATGTTTTATTTTTTTATGTGGGACTCTAGAAGTAGGGCTGCAACAAACGATTATTTGGATAATCGATGAATCGGATGGGGTCTCGACACGATTAATTGATTAATCGGATTACATAGGGACATTTTTAAAAACTGCTAGGGAAACGTTATTTTTCTCCTTCCTTCACTTTATTAAACACAACATTATTAGAAAACAGTTCAATAGCAGAAAAACAACATGCCATCACCTAAATTGTCTTATAAGGTGTATAGACAGAGACCCTAAGCTACACCTACAGGTATCTGTGACCTAAAATGCTTGGTCCAAGTTAAACTAGCCTAGTGAACTAGACCAAATTCTTGCTTTGCAAAGAATGGTCTAGGCATGCTCCATTGGAACCTCAGCAGCTCCTACCAGGACTCTGGCTAGCCAATCACAGCTCTCTAGAGGGGTTTCAAACACATAAAGAGCTGTGATTGGTCCATAATGGTGGGCCAATCATAGTGCTGTATCTGCTTAGTGAACAAATCACAGAGCTTTATCCGCTTTGTGGGCCAATCAGGGCACTCTATATGCCTGGTGGGTGGGATGATGCAACAGAGTGAAACAAGAGTATGTCACATTCATTGTCCAGTGGAATGCGGAGATCATTTGAAAGACAACGGTAGAACCCGCCCCACAACCGAGAGCCGTCAATGGAGCATGGCCAGACTAAATAATACATTTATTGGCTTGCCAGGCTAAAGTTAAACAGCTTAAAGAGCAAGTCAACCCCTACCAGAGTCTAACTCCACTCCCACTTCATGTTTGAAAAATGCAACACATGCTGTTGCCTGGCAGACCGAGAGGGCGGAGCCGCTAACAAACACACACTCAGGCTCACGACAGCATTGTGAGATCATAATGTGCCAGTTTACATCATAGCATACTTCTTAGCCAATAGAGGTGGCAGATTTAAATTAAAATACAGTGCAGAGTTTTTACCTGACAACGGCACAACACTGCCAGTTTTAGGCAGAATATTTAAATTTTAACTAAGATGCACTGAAGTGCCAAATTATTGACGACACGTAACTGCAGCACGATTAGACACTCGTTTATTTAGTTTATCAGCAAAAAAAGTTTATTTGGGGGCGACTTGCTCTTTAAGGGCAATTCGCATCTGTTTTGTTTGATCTCATCTGTAGACATTTATTATAACTGGGGATGTCAAACAACTAATTCTTAAATGTAATTAAACATAGGCTGTGAATTAATCAAAATTAATCACTATTTCCAAAAATGACTGAAAAGATACCAAATAAAACAAAAGTAAATGAATGCCATCCTCCTTGCGATGATGCCCTGGGCAACTGCCATAAAGTCACATCAAGAAATGCTGCTGATCATTCCAATGATCCCAAATAGACTCACATTAGGCCACATGAAAGCAACTGAACCCAAAAATACATTAACCAGTATATAACTGCACTCTCACAACACGCCTGCAGCAACAGTTAGGACTCCTCCCTCCCTTTTAAAAGCGTTTTAGCTTCTGAGGACATTGTGGTTGTAAAGCCACATGCTAGTAGTCTGGCCCCGGTGTGATCAACCAGTTTCTGCGGGAATGTGACGGCGGAACCGGTTCGCAGCGGCGCGAACCGGTTCCGCCGCCTATTTAATAGCGTTGCGCATACGATTTTATAGACTTTTTTTAACGAGCTTAGGGCATGTTTAGCCTGTGTAATAATCCGGGGCTTGGGTGAATCACTTTTGAAAAGTTTTTAACTTACCCGGACACCGAGCTCTCTCCTTCCTCGCTGATGATTCTGACATGCTTGCGTTTAACACGCTGCATCATCACTGCAGCACTCCTGTGCCATGCTAAGTCTGACCTACAAACGTTGCAGGTAACGAATGTGTTCGCCTGATTTAACTGAAAATGCTCCCAAACTTTAGAAGTTTTTACTTTTTGGGGTCTCGCTGCTTCTGCCATGTTCCTTTTTCCAAACACCTGCCGGCTCTCCGGTCTGCGCGCAACGGCGGGCGGGAGGGGAGGGGGCTTTTGGAAGAGTTGTGCAACACAACGAATCGATGACGCAATTCGTTGCCAACGCTTTTAGTAATCGATTTTCATCGAATTTATCGATTCGTTGTTGCAGCCCTATCTAGAAGAGTTACAACTCTTTTATTGAAACCCCGTTTTAGGGTAAGTATGCTAGCTTACTAACAAGGTTAGCTTCTTCTAGCAGAGACATGCTCCGCTTTCCTTCCTGTGGGTAATAACAAGCCAAAGACCTTGACTACAAATTTTCCTTGTGACATAAAAGAACCATCCTTTTCTGACCTGACTGTTTTCCCATCCATTTCCTTTCTGCAGCTAATAATAGTGATGGGGTTTGAAGACTTTTTTCCACAATCTGCGTGCAAGAGAATCTCAGTGACCGATCATATTACAAAAAGCATGTATGACATAGTTTGTCAGTAAACGAGACACCTGATGTTTTCTAAAAAGAAACATAATGGAAAAAAATCTTAAGTGTCGGACCACATAGGTAAAAAATCTCTAAGATTATAGTCATTTTTCTTTACATTGCCTAGGCTCACACTACATCCCTGAAAACTCAGGGACTTCTGTGTTTTTCTCACCATTATTGAAGATTTCGGATGTGCCACATTTTCCTGCAGGGGCAGTTCCTCATAGTCATCCCAGCGGATGAGTCTGGGCAGGTCACTGCTGTCTCTCAACAAATGCCTTGTTGGAACAGACTTGAGAGGAGAAAGTGTGGGAAACCTGGACAGAAAAACAGCAACGACGGGGGCAGAACCTCAGCTGAGCTGTGAATGCGGAGCTAAATGCTAATGGGGCACGATGAAGCAGCCAAAACAATAAAAACATCTGGAAAAGCAGTTTCAAAAACAATATATTCAACATCAAAATAATGTCTGTTTTAAAAACCGTTTCTTCTTACAGAACAAAACAATCTGGAAAAAATCCAAAAGTAGCCAGGTTGTTATTTACCTGTACAGATGGCCGTTGTCTTCAAAGTCCTCTGTCCCATGCCGTCCTTTGACATCTTCAACCACATGGACCTTCAAAAACTTCCTGAGCAGCTGCAGCGTCTGGTAGCGGGTCACCTCGGGCCCAAAGTTGTAGTTACGTCTGAGCAGCTCATGCAGATAATCCACAGCCTCTGACCCGGTGAAGCTGCCGTCATAGCAACGGAAGTGCGCCCAGTGTCGTCTCAGTGGCATTCCTCCACGAAACAGTTTAATGGTTTCATTCCACTACGGATAAAAATCACAAAATGGGGTTTGAGAAGTGTAGAATGTAAAAACATACCTTTTAAAAACCTGATCATTGCTTCGCTTGAATTACCTCTGCATATGAGAATGTGCTATACAAATAAAGCTGCCTTGCCTCAGCACAACATCAGCAAACCTGCCTCATTTGTAATTAGTCTAAAAAGATTAAGCCCCCTACTTATTTATACTTTCAAACATATTTCTGCAAAATAAATGAAAACTAAATTTGCATCAATACACAGAGACAGCAAACTATTTCAGTTTTACTATATTGTACTGAATCGTTGTGCATACTGATGACAAGTTATGCAGCACATTATGTTGATTTGGTTTCAAATAATACAGATTAGGGCTGGACAATATACGAAAAAAGCATATCAATAAACATGCTACATATTGATCGATATAAATGATTATTGATAACTAGGGCTACACAATATATCGCATATATATTGTTATCACGATATCAGCATGTGCAATATGCATATCGCAAAGAACAAATAAATATGGCAATGCATGGTTAGGTCAAATGTTTGCTAGACATAATGTATTCTGTCAAACAGAAGCATAATGTTTTTTTTTTTTAACAAATCAAATAGAGCTCTTCACCCACTTGGCCAATTGGGTGGGTTCGCATAGGTTATATGCCCGCCCTCGAGGCGGACGGCACAATTTTGATGGTTTGCAAACACCCGAGTTAGCTTTGTTCTGTTCTTTCTGCTGATTCTGGTTTTCCCGGGATCCACTGTTTGCTTTTTCTTGTTCATTTTCTTTTTCCCTTTCCTTACGTCTTTAGCTTTTCCCATTTTAATTTAATTTTTATTTCTTTGTTTTGGATTATTTTTGTTCCTGAGTAAAATTTTTATTTATCGCAAGTAATATCGTCATCGCAATATTAATCACTGTTATCGCATATTGCAAGTTTTCCTAATATCATGCAGCCCTATTGATAACTATACAAAAATGTAGAAAATATATATTAAGTGGAGCCCTGGTCATTAATTTATGATAAAACTAGTTGGTTGTGTAACAAGAGTTGGCTTTTATCAATTCTCTGCAAATTTTGTAAACTACGTTAGTTTGTTACTTGTCAGAATTGTAAAAATCTAAAATATAAATATGAAATACTGACATGCAGCTGAACTGACACATTTTTCCTGGGTACGGTAATTTCCTCCACTGCTACTTGCTGCGACATCTTGTTTGAGTCACAACTGAGAGGACGGCTTGGTGTCGAAGCGTGCCTGGGTCTGTGTTTTTGATTGATTGGGAGTAAGTAATGACTCTAGTATTAAGCTACCTAAAAGGCAATAATTAAAAGAGAAAGGAAACTTTTTATTGACTAATTTTTATTCTACCACATCACACATCTATCTACAGATATGTATTGTTACTGAATTATTGTCCAACCTAAATAAAGACAGATCATATTTTCTTTAAAAGTCAAAAATCAAGAGTAAGGCCGTGAAACTGCTGATCTACAATGAAGCATCCAATAAGTTTCAAAACAAGTCTAAAAAGTATATTATTAAACATAAAAGGAGATAAAACTGAACAAACAAAAACTAAAAACAGTATGCTTTTTATGTTGCACAGGACTTGATTGATCACATATCAGAGTTAATCAGATAGGTGAAGAGAATTCAATAAAATTAAAGAAGTAGATAAAACAAGGCAGACAGAATGGACACAATCAGACTTTGAGCTAGGAGAGTCCCAAACGTTGTTAAGGCAACAGCTTTGATCGTCGAGTCATGAAAAGAAGTGAACATGCCCTGTGAAAGAAAAACTCCTTCAATCAAATTAAAGCCAAGAAGTTGTCCTTGAAACAATTGGAAAAAGCAATATAATCAATATAAATGTGATCTGCAGAGACAAAGTGGTTTAATCTGCAATCCCCCTCCCTCTGGACTCATGAGAGATGGCAGGTTCCTTACAGAAGAAACAGCACTAATTTAATTAAACTCAGCATTACTCTCAAGTATACAAACAACTGAAAACATTAATCGTTTAAATAAATAGCAGAAACACACCATAGAAGGCTAATGAAGCTCAAACTTTACTCAGCACAAGGTCATCTGGTTATTAAAACAAAAATAACATATGTAAATATTAAAATGAGTAACTTTTCAAAATCTTCCCGTTTCCATTTCCTATCTCCTTACACACAGGAGGTATAACATGTCAATAACAGTTTAGTAAACGCATCAGTATCAAGCAACCATGACGTCTAATGTCTGGAAGTCAGTGCAGAGGGTGAGTGAGTTAAGTCAAAACACACCACATGGAACATTTTCATGTAGTCTGCTGGAGTGAAAAGTAGTTAAAAACTACAACTCACCGCTAGAATTTCCATTCAAAATTAATGCAACATGGTAGAAAGAACTGATGATACAAAATACTTTGAAAGCAGCTCAAGATGTAAATTCGTAGAAACAGATACACATATACATATTTTTAACAAAGATGGAAATTAATGACAGCTGCGGATCTAGGAAAAACTGTTGGCAAAACTCGTACTGTAATTTTAAAATAAGCAGCTATCACACACATCTCAAGCTAGCTCATGTAAACAAGAGCACGTCGTTAGCTTATTGTTTATTTACTACCACTCAGCGGTAGGAACTGTCAGGAACTACTTAAAACGTCGACAGTTCCAATTGTGTTAATTTATATGAGTTTAATAGGAGTAAATAACCAACTCGGGTAATGCCGTATGTTAGCTTAAAACTAAAATGTTGGCATAGATTAAAACTTCCAAAGGGACTCACCAGTTTAGTCGCTCGGTATGGTCCAGGTCCGATAACTTTGCCTTCCATTCCGCTATAGCAACTTATTTTCACTTTGATGAAAACATGAGACTGTGAGACTTCAAAATGACTTAAAAAGTTTTTTAAATGTGTCCCTAAAGTCGCGGAGGAGTCCTCCTGGACGGAGACGTTGATGCCAACTTTGAATCCTGTGCGTCATCGAATTTAAACGATGTGATTTGACAGAGATTAGATCACGTGACCAGAAATAGCTAGCCCGAGGACACACCGGTTTATGCTGAGATCCGTTACCCCGTTGATAACAAGCTGTTTAACTCCGTTTTTTTTCAGTAGCAATCGGTGTTAAAACAAAGAAGTGATACGCAATTTTTTTTATTCCCATTTGTTGATTGTAGAAAATAAATATCTAGAAAGCTGAATATTGTGACTGAAACTGATTTATCTTGTGTTCAGCTACCTGCAAAACAGGTTCACACATCCAACTGGTTATAAATACATATTCAGGTGTGTTTTATTCTCCTGCATCAACACTTTTGTACTTAAGCTGGGAAAACATGCACTGATGCATTGACAAAGACAATGTGGAGCTAAGAACTAAAAACTGTGTGTGTGTGTGTGTGTGTGTGTGTGTGTGTGTGTGTGTGTGTGTGTGTGTGTGTGTGTGTGTGTGTGTGTGTGTGTGTGTGTGTGTTTTCACAAAAGAATAAAAGCTGCAATGTAATGTGATTTACTGTGCTGGTTTTATGACAAGCAGCTGGTGATATGATATTCTAATCAAAGCCTCATCCATGTTTGAAATTGACTGCAGACATTTTTAGAAGCTAAAAATATGCATATAATTGCAGTGGTGACCTTCTGTAGCTCTGAAAAGGACTCTGAGGTAAATAACTGAAGCTGCACAGTATGTACAACATCCCTTAAATCATTGGCACATAAAGAAAAAAAGAATTACCTGGGGCAGTTGGAGAGTTTCTGTCTTTGTGCTAATCAGATAATCATTGAGAATTGAAGATGTTGTTTGCTGAAGGTCTAACCAGAAAGTCTGTTTGTCCAAAATAAAAAATATTTCTGACGTAAAAAAGGAAAGTCAACGGAAGTTTATAAATCGCTGCCACCAGATTCACATTATATGGCTATTTGGGCAGAAATGTCATTTACTGTAAACCAGACTCCTGGATGAACTGGAAATGTTACATTTAACTGCTGTTGGCATTTATGTGTGTTAACAACTGTAGAATTCCATGTGAATTTTTGTCATGTAAAACTTGACATAAATCTTAAAGTTTATTTAATAAAATGCTACAAACCACCTCCACTGAGTCAGCCAATCTTCACCACCTCCATATTTTACACCAGTCAACATCTTCTCCCCCCATCACCAACCCTCCTCAGCACCACACCCTCTCTTACTCCCACCTATCAGTTACATCTGACCTGGTGTGGAGAGAACTGAGGCTGCTTAAGAGCAGGAAAGCTGCAGATCCTGAGGGAATCAGCCCCAGACTGCTCAAAGACAGTCCTGAAAATCTTTGTGAAGTGGTCACACACATGTTCAACCTGAGCCTTCGTCTAGAGCAGGTCCCCATCCTGTGGAAGACCTCATGTGTGGTTCCAGTTCTCCAAACATCAGATCCCCAAGAGCCAGACCATTACAGACCAGTTGCCTTGACCTCCCATCGGATGAAGACTATGGAGAGACTCGTCTTCACCCATCTACGTTCAGTGGTGAGCCCGGAAATAGACCTACTGCAATTTGCATATAAACCAAACATGGGTTGGAGGATGCCCTCATCCACCTGCAGCGCCGAATTCCGAGTCACCTCGAGATGCAAAAAAGCATAAAACAATGCAAAAGTGAGAGTTCTTTGGCTAGTATTTTGTATTATCATGACTTCTGAGACTGGGAGAGCAGGGTTCAAATTGGGTCATACCAAAGACTTTAAAAATTGGGACCCAGTGCCTCCTTGCTTGACACTCAGCATTAAGGGGTTGAATTGTGGGGTTAAACCACTAAATGGTTTCTGAGCGTGGCTGTGTCTGCAGTTCACTGCTTCCCCAGGTGATGGGTCAAATGCAGAGAACTAATTTTTTACACACATCAGTGTGTGTGACAACTAATGGAACTTCAACTTTTAACTTCTCAAGTGCCTTCAACACAATCCAGTTGTGTCTACTACAGCAGAAGGTAAGGGTGCAAGTGTAGATGAATGTCTGACTGCATGGACCACCAGCTACCTCACCAAAAGGCCACAGTACGCGAGGCTACACAACTGTTCGTCTGAGTTTGTTGTGCGCATACAGAGTATGGTGCTCTCTCCCTTTCTCTTCACCTTCAACACCTCAGACTTCGCCTACAACACCAGCAGCTATCAGCTCCAGAGGATCTCTGATGACTCGGCCATTGTCGGCTCGGTGTCTGAGGGGAATGACCTGGAGTACAGGTACATCATGAACGTTGTGTGTTGGTGTGAGCGTAACAACCTTCACATGAACACAAGTAAGACAAAATAAATGGTGACTGACTTCCAGAGAAACACTCCTCCCTCACTAGTAAACATCCAGGGAGCAGACATTGAGGTGGTGGATACCTTTAAGTACCTGGGTGTTCATCTCAACAGTAAACTTAACTGGTCCCACAACACAGATGCTCTTTGTAGGAGGGGCCAACACCGCCTCCACCTCCTAAGGTGGCTGAGGTCCTTCTGAGTTAGACTGAACAAACATAAAGACAACATTTTTGTTTTTGCTCTCATTTTTCATGAGCTAAACTCAAACATCTGAAACTTTTTCTACATGCACAAAACACATGAAATCTGTCTACTTGTGTGTAAGTGAGCACCTTTCTTTTACCAAGGAAATCCATCCTACCTCACAGGTGTGGCATACCAAGGAACTGATTAGAGAGCATGAATAATGTTCAGGTGTATGTTTGTACCTAAAAAACGTCAACTTGTGTTTAGCGCTCTCTTGTTTCCTCCGGCCCGCATTGCGAGTCTCCAGTTCCGGCAGAAGCATCTCAGGTAAGATACCTAAGTGGAGGGGTGAGTGTTCTGTCACCATGTTAGCGCTCAAATATAGTTTGCTCTGTAGATTTGCTATAACAGCTTTAACTTGATTCATATTGGCAAAAAGCAAGTGAAATGAAGCCAGGTGAATGTGGCAAGTGGATTCCAGCACATGTCAGCATTCTGAAATCACACAAATGATCTAACATATCTTTCAACCACTTATATATGCTATAAACCTTTTATTTCAACAATATTGAAAATTACAACACACATTGAAATGTTCTGGGTCTATCAAACATCGACTGAATATTTCCAAGACACTGTAGGAAGGTCACGATTCTGCTGATTCTAATATTGTGACATTGCGGTCCACTGGTTTTAACTAACAGGTAGTAATGGCTGTTCGTTGTGCCATTTTCTGCCATTTTGTTAGCTGCAATAATGAGACAACGACAGATGTCACATCAGCAGGGTCAGAGCACAAAGCTGCTTAAAAAACTCCTGTCGGACTGGCTAAAAGAGATAGCTGCGTGGCACCTTGAAATGAACTCAGACAGTGAAAATGCTCTATTGATATTCATGAGATGCCATAATAATCATCGTCTCTGGCTCACCGCAAATTTGAACAATTGTAAATAGGATAACTGAGATAAAATGCTGCAGTCAGACGGCATGTTTCAGGGTATTTCACTCAAAACTCTTTTTCATAATATTTTATAATATTTTTCATAATGGAATTAAAACTCTCAATAAACAAAAATACTTTACATCCAAAGGTGAACAAGAATGTATTTTTGTGATTAGAAGTCTTAGCTGACAGATTGGTATAGAATTATTGTTTGAAACCATTAATGTATCTTGTTTAAAAGGAGGAGGAAATTTAGGATATTCAGAATTACTGTCAAGCTTCCCTGTGTGGTAAGACTAATTAAATAAGAAATCTCTTCCAAAATGTCCCAACACAATAACTCCAGTGACAGCCCCATCTGGTACATACTTTATTGAATGCTTCTCACATGTGTCTCTTTTGCACAGCCTTAACTTGTATCTCTGCATTAATTTTCCAAGTAAAGCTAAATGAAATAACAGCAAGAGGCACAGTTAAGATACTAGAGACGTAGCTAACAAGATAAGCGACAGGAAATGCAATGAGAGGAAACAGAACAGGCTACTTCATGTAACTGGTTCTGGTTGAAGAACCTTCCAGTGGGACCAGACTGAAACTGAGGATATCCATGACCCATACCTCTTAAGAACATTGTGACTTACACACTGGCTTTAATCTTCAGAGGATTAAACACCCTACTTCAGCTTGAGGCAGCATTGCTCCTTGTATACAATCTTGTTTCTAGTGTTCATGCATGTAGATGGATAGTAAGGTGAAACAGGGTCATCAGTCAGATACCTGAACCACCTCAACTGATCAGGAAAAGCAGTAGCTCCATTCCAAGCTCCCTATAGGTCAGGACTATTCAATTCTGGTCCTGGAGGGCCACTGCCCAGCCCTCAGAGACCAGGCTTGCATAGCCCTACCCTTTCCCTAGATGATGGAGCTCATCATCTTATCACTAAAAGCTGATCCTGGCCACCTCACAGAGGAAAGCCTCTTCAGCCTCTTGTATCCGTAGCCATTGGTGAGGGTTGGAATGAAAATAGACCAGTAAATCAAGAGCTGTGCCTTTAAGTTGGGCTTTTAATTTACCATAACGGTCCTTATATAATGCCCTCATTACTGAAGATGCCTGATATACCAGTCCATCTCTCATGCCATCCTACCATCACACATAAATAACACACCAAAATGTTTCTGTGTCAAGCAAAGACTCACGCTCACCTTTAAGGAAGGAGAATAGTGGTTTCAGAGTGGCTGATCCCACACACTTAAACTAATCCTGTAGATTCTGCAGGTCATGGTTTGAAAAGTCCACAAGAACCACAGATGCACGTTGAGATCCTGTGCTTTTTATCTGTCTTCATCATGTCTCTTCTGTGTCATCTGTGCTTGTTTGCTTTGAAAACTGTTCGTTTTGGGCGCTGTTTTGTCTTCACCAGGGGCAGCAGTAGCTCAACAGGTTGAGCGGGTTGTCCAGTAATTGGTAGGTTGCAGGTTCGATCCCGGCTCCGGACAGAGAATGCTGCTGTTGTGTGCTTGGGCAAGACACTTAACCCACCTTACCTGCTGGTGGTGGTCGGAGGGACCGGTGGTGCCTGTGCTCAGCAGCCTC